ACGTGGATAAAACAAAATATATGGTTAGCTGCAAAAATGGCGATACTACTGGTGATATCGATATAGATGGTAATATGTTTGAACAGGTAGATAAATTTAGGTATCTAGGTTCTACGATAACTAGAAAAAACGAAATTGAAGAAGAGATTAAAGTTAGACTGAAGGCGGGGAATGCTTGTTATTTTTCTGTGACAAAACTACTCAGTTCGCGCCTCTTGTCCCGAAACTTAAAAATTAGAATCTATAAAACAATTATCTTGCCTACAGTTCTTTATGGATGCGAAACTTGGCCGCTTACATTAAGGGATGAGCAGCGTCTTAAGGTTTTTGAAAATAAAGTATTGCGTAGAATATTCGGACCGAAGAAGGATGAGTTAACCGGAGAGTTCAGACGGTTACACAACGCCGAATTGCGTGAGCTATATCCGGGTAATATAATTGAGGTAATTTCATCGCGGCGAATCAAATGGGCTTGTAAAGTTGTTGGGCTTAGTAACGAGAGAATTCCTAAAAGGTTAATATTTGCTGTGCCGAATGGTAAGCGTCGGAGGGGTAGACCGAAGCGAAGGTGGGAAGATTGCATTAAAGCTGATCTGAAGGGACTGGGTTTGGACGGCGAACGGTGGAGGGAGGTGTGTAACAGGCGATTGGTGGTGTCGGCATCGAACCTTCGGGTTCGCTAAGCCTTATTATTATTATTATTATTATTATTATATTATTATTTTTTTTGGTCCTTCACTTCCTTTCATTTGAACAGATAGCGATATTCCAAAGATCGGCCTTATAACTGTATTTTATCGAAATTCAAACTTGGAATATTATTTTTATTGCTAATAAATATGTCAATCCAACGTCAAGAAATCGACAGAAACATAAATTTGGGCAAAAAGAGATATATCGTCTTATGGTCTTATTTTATTTTGATTGATTATGTCTTGTTGGAATATTATTATATTGATTATAAATGTGTCAAACCGTAGTCAAAGAATCAACATAAACATAAACTGGAACAGATTCCGACATTCTAAAGATCAGTATATTTGCCTGATGATTTCATTTTATCAAGATTGTTTGAGTTTTAATTTTTTTTTTTTTTCTTGTCTTTTCCTTCTCCTCATTACAGCATACAAATATATTTCAAATACTGATATATAGGCTTAACGTCCTTGTTTTATTAAGAGTTTAACTTTTATTATTATTATTTTTATTACTAATAATAAAAACCGATATACAAACACATTTTTTTTTTTATTCTCCTAATCCTGAAATTCTAGCTTACCAATATTCTAAAAATCAATATATCGGCCTTACGACCTTATTTTATTAAGGTTCATACTTGGAATATTATTTTTATACTATTATTGAGAATAGATGGGTCAATCGATCAACATAAACATAAATTTCAGCAAAGACCGATATAGCAAAGCAGGGACCAATCAGGCATCAAGAATCATTATCAAAAAATTGACATAATCATAAAATCAAGCTAAGACCGATACTTTGGCCTTATGACCTTACTTTATCAAGATTCAGATTTACACCTTTCTAATTCGAGTAGATACCTATATTCCAAAGCCCAAAATATATATGCATATATCTGTCTTTTGACCTTATTATATCATGGTTCATGGAGTTTCACTTTGAATATTATTTATACTGATAAAAATGGGCAAACTAATTGCCATGGAATTGATATAAACATAAATGTGAGTAAAGACCGATATATCGGCCTTCTGATTTAATTTTATCAAGATTGGTAGAGTTTGATATTTTTTAATTTGTGTTAGTCTTCTTCAAAATTTTTTTCGGTCCATCCCATAGACCCATATATCGGCGTTTTGACCTTATTTTATCATGATTCATGTAGTTTCACTTTGAATATCATTTAAACTGATAATAAATGGGCTAATCAATCGCCATTAACATAAATGTGAGTAAAGACCGATATATATCGGCCTTAAGATTTAATTAGCAGTAATATTAATGTAACTCCACATTTTTTATTTTTAATACAAACCCATATTTGCTACAATATTCACTTCCATAAATTAGAATACTGTTGTATTTGCAGGTGTGAATAACAATCATGTAAGATTCATTAGTAGCAAATTTAGGAATAACATTTGAGGAAGATTATTGAAAAAAAAATTAATAATGTTAATTACTCTGGAAGAATATGAAGGGCTAAGAAAGGAAAAGCAATGTTACTCCTCACTTGGATTAACTGAGAAGTAGGGTGACCCCAGCCCTCAATAGAATAAGTCGTATTGGTGGCGCCTTCTGGGGCCTCAGGTACCCAGCAACGACGACTATCTGTAATGGAGTAGTATATTCTTAAGAAAGAAGGCTCAGCAAGTCTTCCAGAAAATCCAAGAACACCATTGAGCAGTGGACAGTGGGTAACTACTCATAAAGGTTCTACCTTGAGGAAATACTTTCCTACCATCTATTCAAGGTTAGAAGCAAAATGGCTCCTCCCTGATTATTGGGTGTCGCAATTCCTGAAGGGCATGGGGGTTTTCGTGCCAGGGTTCATGGCTTTGGAAAAGGAATTAATCCTCTATGTCCCTGTTGTAGTGTTACGGAAACTGTTGAGCATATCGTCACAATTTGCACCGCTTTTGAAGCAATAAGGGCCAAACTACTGAGAGAAACCGGACTCTACATCAACATGGAGGACAATTTCCATCAGCTAGTAAGTAAGAATAACTACCTGTACTACAAAGCGTTCGTGTACGGGTGGAAGGAATTAGTCAGAGATGATCACTCCAACCTCCGCGAACGAAAACTGAAGAACCAGAAAATAAGTGGTAAAAGTATAAACTACTTCTACCAAAAATCTGTATTGCCGAGAGGCAAGGGAAGAAGAAAATAAAATAAATATATTTTGCTATATAATATATAGTATTTAGACTTGTTAATTAGAATGAAAATGAATATTTTCTAAATAAAGAAGTATATTTATCCATATTTTTTTGTGAATACAACAATATTCTATACCACATATTTAAATACAATTACTGGAGAACGAGGAGAAAAGTTAGCCCAACTTTGATGTGTAAGAATGAATTTTATAAATTTAAGAACATTTACATGGGTCAGGCCATGCATCTCATTTCAAGTACCATTTAGAAATTTCTTCCTACCCATATAAAAATAGTACCCTAAAACTCATACCTGCTGTGTCTAAAGTGAAAAAGAAAATGGATTATCTAAAAACGCAGAAGTCTGTAAAAAAAAACAACGTATTTTGCTTGAATGTCAATAATATTCAATTTGAGAATTTCGCAATCATTAGATTAGTAGCGGCTAACGAAAACAAGATGAAGTGGGGTGAGGGTAGCCCATGGGGGACAAGTTTTATTTTTATTTTTACCATTCATCTGACAAGCAGGAGAGGAGGACCGTCATAAATTACATGATAATTAGATTTTATTTAATATTTAATTGATTTTATAGATTGATTTGTAAATTTTGTTTTTTATTGTTGTTAATTTTTATATCTTATTTAGCCTGATGAAGGAACAAAACTTTAAGTATAACAGGAAGGCAACGTTTTTTTATTGAATTTTATGCCTCTCCTGTAACAATATATTCAAAAGAATATGTCAAACTTTACCAATCTCAATAAAATAAGACCACAAGGCCGATATATCGAACTTTGTTTAAATTTATGTTTATGCAGATCAGTTAACTTTTAATTGACCCATTTATTGGCGATAAAAATAATATTCAATGTGAAAGAAACCGATATATCAGTAAAGTAAAATTCATCAAATCTTGATAAAGTAAGGTTAAAAGTCGCATTATCGGTAAAAAATGTTTTTAGAAGTTACCAAAAAAAAAAAAAAATAATAATATTCAATGTAAAAGAGACCGATATATTCGTAAAGTAGAACTGGGTCTTCAGAATATCCATAGCTGATGAAAATCTAAGGAGAGGATGAGCAAAAAAATAAGTGCAAACTTTACCAATCTCAATAAAATCTGGTCATATGGCCGATATACTGGTCTTTGCTTAAATTTATGTTTATGTTGATCCCTTGATGAATGATAGACACATCTATTAGCAATAAAAATAATATTCAAAGTGAAAGAGGCCGATATTTTGTTCTTTACTCAAATTTATGTAATGTTTATACAAACTCGTTTACGTTTGATTGACACATTTATTAGCAATAAAAACAATATTCAATGTGAAAGAGCCAATATATTGGTAAATATAGGATATCAGTGCTGAAAATCTGGGGAGAGGATGAGCAAAAAAAAAAAAACCGATAAATTGGTATCAGTCGATCTTTAGTTAGTCTAGTTGATTTATACATCAAAAATCAAAACATGTCAGTAAAATATCTTAAAACAAAATTGTTTGAAGAATGAGGGAAAATACTCTCCCTATTTACTTCAAAGTTGATCCAATCAATACCTAAATGGTACTCAATAATAAAGGACAGCATACATAACATTAATTTATAATTTTTACTAGAATAAATAAATGAATTACTGTTTGATATAACAATGTATGTAAACTTTTTCTGCAATAAAATTCTTAATTTACACTTAAATTTGTATTTAAAATCTATGTATTTATTGTTGGACAAATATATTTGAGAAAATTGGTATTGAAGTTATATTTAAGTGTTTAATTAAAAATAAATGCATGAAAGTATGTTTTAATTGATTTTTTATTTCCTATTAGTCTGTGTTTTAAAACTTTTGCTGGTAACACAGTATCACTTAATTAAAAATTTGTTTTATTAATTATATATATATATTAAGAATTAATAAAAGAAACCTCTAATTAAGTAATAATGATTTGTCTCACTAACTATTGAATAAATCATATTATGGTATCCAACAAAAGCAAACTGGCAATGGTTCTAAATATAGCAGCAGGTGCAAGAGTATTATTTTTAGAAAACTGTCAACTAAGTGCTTAGGTTGAAATACAGAAAACAACAAATACAGAACAAAATATAAAATTACACAAAATGTATTACCCTGCCTTCCTGAATGCTAACTTTAGGAACAACATGTGTATGGGGAATAGCTCTACCCTTTTCTCTCAAGGCAGGATGCAAAAATTCTGGTCGCAGGTGTGGAGGCCTTTCTTGTTTTAAATGTTCTGAAATAAATCGTCAACACAGAATAATAATTTAATAAACCTCAATAAATAACCACACACATTAAGAGCAACTCCATAAAAAAATGTTAAATAAATACTGTTCATTACGGTTAGTAAAATATTACCCAATTTTTATTTTCTGTAAGTACTTTCAATTAGTCACAATAAACAACAAAAACCAATCGCAATGTTAGATTCATAATGCGAAGATTCGCCTTTCATAAAACCTTACTTGGTTGGTCCAGTCCCCAAACACGGATTCTTCGAGGAAGACCAATTTCCCCAAGTGAAGCACCAAAGGATTGTTTTAAACATAGTGAACTATTGTGTGTTCGGATTTCATCTAACATCTGCTTATAAGTTCTTCCTAATCTAACCTTATCCTTAAGAAATTGTGTTATATCAACACCACAACTGCCAAAAACGGTTTTCTGACATTGATCAACAATGCCCTTCGTCAGTTTCCCTTGTTGAAAGGCAAACATTAGTTTACTATCAAAATTTACTTGCCTCAGTAAAATCTTTTCACAGATTTCTATCATAACTTTAATTGCATTTACATCACTATCAAACATGACATCACAACATCCTGTAATTGAAAGACGAAATACATGAACATTTTAATGTAGTTTAAAGAGAAAGTAACTTTAACCATCAAGTAAGCAAATAATGAATAACTTATAGTTAAAAATAAACCATATAATTATTACAATTTAAACAGAAACACAAACTAAATATTTGAAGGATTGTACCTTGTGCTGAAGATAACAAATCCTTTTGGGAATAAGAACCTTGTATCATTGGATAAAATACATTAGGCCACAGAACAGCGAAACAACCGGCAACTATCGCTAGAACAAAAATAGATTTTCCAGTACTAAAATCGTTAGCCATTTCGTTTTTAAAATTCGTTTAAATCGAACATCTACCACCTAACCAACAACCCCTCATGACAACTCCAAAAAATGTATTATTAAGTGCCCTTGTGACAGTCAGCTGTTACTATCGATTGTTTATTTTACAAAGACATATGATACGATTAGTCTGCAACAACATTGTCATATACATGACATTAAATTTACAGAGAAAAATTATTTGTCTTGTTTAATGTAATTTTAGCAATGTGCGTTTTCTCGCCAAAGTCTTCAACGACGCACAGTGGGGCATAAGCGGAAAAAACTACTCGCAAGTGAAATTGAGTTTTTATGGATACTTTTTTAGTGGTTTCCGGTCCTTGAATAGTTGAAGAATATACTCATGCTTAAACTTTTCAGAAAATAAATGTTTAGAGGTCTGAACATGACCTATAGTAACTTATCCAAAATTCTTCAATCCAAGCATAAAGATTGTTTTGCTCATGTGCCTTTATTTCCAATAGTAAAAAATTGAAATGTCAATATTTACATCATATATAAAACATCAATAACTTATTCTCCAATGCGTTGTTAAGAAGATTTGAAGTAAACAGTATTGTTCTGAAATATGTTGAAACTTTAAACTGAAACACTTTTAAAAAATTTGCTCGTAACTTTGCTCGCGTCCGTACATTGTACATGTGCCCTCTGGTTATAACTAAATGAGCAATATTGTCGCCACAAAGACAGTTCAACAACACAGAATCCACAAAAATATGAATCATTCAAAATTAAGAATGATGATTAAGAATGATTGAAGTTTTCTAAGAAAACAAAAGGCCCAGTTAATACACAGCTTAAGGCTATGTTCTGCAACGATGGTGGCATAACTGTTGACTAATTCACAGAATAGAAGACGATTATTACAAAGGAGGATGCTGATTTTTATGAGATAGTAGAAGCCGTCTCATCCACTGAAAATATCAAGTGTCACCAATTACCGTTATATAAAACTTATAAACTGCAGAGATCCAGACAGTTGCATCAGGAATAATTTCGCTGCTAAATCATCTCTCAAGGTAACCTTTTCAATTAAAAAGAAAATAGAAGAGAATGTTAAATTGGAGGCTGTAAAGTTAGAAGCATGGAAAAATAAAATCCATAGGCGGTTTTATGTAATGTACAACCCCCCCAATGAATAGAACAGATCTATCCTGTCTTGAAGCTCAGTGGGAATCCCAAGACGTTTTATATGGTGATATTAATCCCATCCACTAGATGGGATTATAACCAAAGATCTGCCGTTGGGAGGATTTTTGTGGATTTAATTGACTCGAACCTAGTAGAAATCATTAGAAGAGAAGACAACAGCCCAACGTTAATTTCATGACGGGGCAATACTAGCAATCCGGATGCAATTCTGACTCGCACAAATCTAAAAAATTACATTCACTGTTCTGTGGAACATGCACCAGGAGAATTAGGACAGAAGATATTAAAAATAATAATTAGGACCCATAGAACTAGTGGACCATCTGAACCTCGAACAGCCAAATGGATCTTGAAAAAAGCTAAATGGAAATTATTTTCCAAGATATGTGATTTTGAGTTAAACGAGGATGTAATACAAGGTAATGTGGATGTTCTTAATAAGAAAATATGTGAAACAATCCTAAAATGTGCCATAGAAACTATCCCTAGAGGTTGCGTTAAGAAATATTCTCCTTTATGGAATGCTCATCAACAGAGATTAAAGGAGGATAGAAATGCCGCCCAAGAAGTATATCAAATCAGGGGACAGGAGAGTGATAAAACACGTCTGAAAGCTACAGGAGCTTTACTTAGAAGGGAAATAATTGAGGGTAAAAGAAGTTCCTACAGCTAGTTCATGAAAAAGCTAGATTTTACGAAAGACGGAGACCAAACTCACCGTTTCCTTTCTAAAATCAACAAGAACACAGAAACTAAGAAGTAGAAGAAGAATCCTTTTGTAACGACGTCAATTGATCAAGGAGAAGGCAGATTAAGCTTGCTTAAAAGACTGGTAGGAATCAAATTTTGTTTCCCTTACCAGCCCATAATTTCCTACAATCCACTGCCGTAATAATCCAAACTTCCCTTTACCCAATAACACTAGGTGCGGCATATTCCCCGCCTAAAATACCCATTTCCGAATCCCAAATAATTTCCTTCCTGAATTCCTTAGGACACCACTTCCTCCTAGCTGCAGATTTAAATGCAAAACAACAGCAATGGGGAGCCAGATTCATAAATTCCCGAGGGCGAACATTGCTATCTGCACTTAATTCCCATCGCAGCAACATCCTTTCACCTAATACTCCCACATATTGCCCAGCAGATCCCAACCGCAACCCCGACCTTTTCCTTTTCCTACACAAAAATCTAGGATCACTACATTGTTCCATTTCAAGGCTTGATGATCTTTCCTCAGACCATAGTCCTCTAATCCTAACCGTTTCCACATCTCCCCTTCCTGAATCAACCCCACCTTCATTTATCAGGGGGCCAGTTAACTGAAACCTTTTCTGTCCAAATACTGGAAGGTAATATAGACATCAGAGTTTCCTTGAAAAACACCTGAATACCTCGACGATGCAGTATATTCCTTCACTACCCTGATCCAGCAAGCAGTTTGGACTGCATCCTCACCTGATTGTCCCAAAAAATACCATAACATAAATCCTTTACCTCAAGACCTACTGAACCTTATCCATAGTAAACGTTGCTCTAGGACCCTTTGGCCAAGAACCAGACTTTCAGATGACCGGTAATCATATAATTATTATTCCGAACAGGTAAACAAGAAACTGGATACCTTTAGAACCCTATCCTACAATTCCTACCTCTCCTCATTATCCGCTAGTGATAACTCCCTCTGGAATGTAACTAAGAAAACCCTTAAATTCCAGTCCATTTCCTACCCACTTTGCCATGATGATAGTTCCTGGGCTTCGTCAGATGCGAATAGAGCACACATTCACTCCTCATCCCGAACTCCATCCTACCCACACTGCTGAAGTTGAAGAATTCCCCTCTCTCTACCTCCAAAACCTGTTAACCCCTCTGAGGTGAAATTCCTTATAAACAAGTTAAAATCCCGAAAATCCCCTGGATATGATCTCTTCGCTTCACAAATCCTCAGACAGCTTCCCAAAAAAGCAATTATATTCCTTACCTATCTATAAAATTGCATCCTTCGTACAACCAACTTTCCTTTGGTGATACATAATTATCCTTTTGCACTCTTGCTCAATCTCCACTGGGTTTAGCCCTAGTGACGTGGTTAAGAGAGGAGTGCAGGGAACTCCTGGAGTCATACTTTTCCCTCCACAGTTGGAGGGACAAGTTTGGTTTGGATTTCTCTCGCCAAATTGTAAATATTGTATATAGGTGTGTATTTGTTCTTTTTATTTATTTATTTTTAGGTTATTTTATTCTTATATATTGTATATATATTATTTTTCTGTATAATTTATTTTATTTATTGTACATAGAGTGTGAATGTGATCTGTGAACTCTATTATAAATGTCCTAGAGACGGATTGTAATATTTTTCAATAAATAAGTTTAAAAAAAAAAAAAATTATCCTGTTCGAAAAACCAGGTAAACCTGTTAATAATACATCATCCTATAGACCGATAAGGTTCCTCCCGATCTTCTCAAAAATCTTTGAGAAAATCCTTCTCAAACGCATCCTACCCATACTCGAATCCCACAGTATCCCTTCTCATCAGTTTGGATTCCGCTCAAGACATTCCACTGTCCAACAAGGCCTTCGTGTTGTGGACCATGTATCCTCTGCACTTTAAAACAAGCAGTATAGCACTAGTGCCTTTCTGGACGTAAGGCAAGCTTTCGACCAGGTGTGGCATGATAGCTTGCTTTTTAAGCTCAAAACCCATTTACCCCAGTCCTGATACCTAGTCCTCAAATCCTACCTCTCAAATCGTTCCTTTCAAGTCCGTTGTGGCACCGAATTCTCCACTTACTATCCAGTTGAGGCTGGTGTTCCACAAGGCAGTGTCTTGGGCTCAGTTCTTTACCTCCTCTTCACTGCCGATATCCCTTCAAATCCCGATACATTCCTAGTTACATTTGCTGATGATACTGCCATTCTATTCTCTCACTCAGATCCTCCAATAGCATCTCTAAACCTACAATCCCACCTCTCCTTAATTGAGCAGTGGTGCAACAACTGGCGCATCAAAATGAATGAATCAAAATGCAAGCATATTACTTTCACCCTGCGACGCAGATCCTGTGCGCCAGTCCTTTTTAATTCAATACCACTTCTCTACTCAGATACAGTCCGTTCCTTCTAGACAAAAGACTGACTTGGAACCCACATACCAGACTTAAAAGGCAAGAACTTAACCGACGATATGGCTATTTATATAGACCACTAAGCAGGACATCTCGTCTTTCGATTAATGGACCTACGGACTTGAATTGTGGGGAACTGCTAAACATTAGAATATCAGACGCATCCAATCGTTCCAGTCCAAAGTACGTAGAACAATGGTCAATGCCCCATATTATGTCACAAATAAGGCCTTACACCATATTTTATTCCTTTATTATTAAATTTATTCCTGTAATAAATACTTTACACCATTTTTAAATATAATAGTTCTAATGACTAGTTACCTCGCGCGGGCTCATTACAGCGTATGGGGAGCGTCCCACGGGTGGCGGATGTGGGGATGGTCGGTGGAAATTCCTTGGAAGTTCCTCCCGGCTAAGTCCGATGGACTCGCTGACCAACAATGAGAGGGGTCCTCCAGACTTGCTGGAGGGAGGGGACCTCCAGACTTGCTGGAGGTAGGGGCCCACCAGACTTGCTGGAGGGTGTGACGTAGGATTGAACGCCCTACTCACATATCTTTAGTTCACCAAACACCACAAAAAGTCATGGATCTCCTTAAGGTAAAACGCTCATTATCCGGAGGTAAACTAGTCCCCCGTTCGGGTCTCCGGGTGGGGACTGCTTTAGGGGATTCATGGCGCAAGTTGAAATATAGGGATTTAAATATTGGTACGTGGAACGTAAGGAGTTTAAACACAGCAGGGGGGCTAAAATCGGTCGCGAATGAGGTAAATGGGTACAATTTGGTTGTCGTGGCTCTGCAAGAGGTTCGCTGGCCAGGGGAGGGCTCGATGAGGGAAGGAAAGTACACTATTTGGTACGGAGGAAG